AAGTAGATTCAGGAGAGAAAATGGGCAGTATCTTTCAAGAAATTATGAAGGAAAACTGCCCCAATGTCATAGAACCAGAGGGCAAAGTAGGCATTGAAAGTGTCCACCAGGGGCAGCTAGGTGGCTCAGTGGATAGAGCACCAGCCCTGAAGTCAGGAGGACCTGAGTTCAAATTTGGCTTCAGACCAAATACTTGACACTTACTAGCTGTGTGACCCTGGACAAGTCACTTAACCTCAATTGCCCCCCCCCCCAAAAAGTGTCCACCAATCACCTCAGGAAAGAAATCCCAAAATAAAAATTCCAAGGAACATTATATCCAAATTTCAGAACTCTCAGGTCAAAGAAAATATAATACAAGTGGCCAGAAAGAAACAATTCACATATTGGAGAATCACAATCATGCAGCTGCAACATTAAAGGATCAGAGGTGATGGAACAGGTCAAAGGAGCTAGGACTATAACCAAGAATCGCTTACCTGGCAGAATGAAGCATAATACATCAAGGAAAAAACGGTCATTCAATGAAATAGAAGGATTTCAAACTTTCCTAAGGAGAAGACCAGAATTAAACCAAAAAATTGACCTCCAGTATCAAGATCCAAGAGAAGCATAAAGAGGTAAAAAGGGAAAAGAAAACATGAGGGATTCAATAGAGCTAAACTATCTACATCCCTACATCCCTATTTACATCCTGCCCATGGGAAGATGATATGTATAATTCTTAAAAATTGTATCATTCTTAATTCTTAATTAATTAATTCTAAATTCTTAAAAATAGTATAGCTAGAAGGAATATAAATAGAGGGTAAGGCATAAGGTGAATTTGAGGGAATGACAAAAAAGTTAAGTGATGAGAAAGAGGAGTACAATAAGTGCAGAAGCAAAGAAGAGGAAAATGGGGTAAATTATTTCACATGAAGAGGCACAAAAGACCTATTACAGTAGAGGGGAATCAAATGTAAAAAGCAGAAAAAATTAAATGTACTCTTTTCAGATCATAATGCAATAAAAATTACATTCTCCAAAGGGCAGTAGAACTCTAGATTAAAAGTTAATTCGAAACTAAATAATCTTATCCTAAAGAATAAGAGGGTCAAAGAACAAATCATAGAAACAATAATTTCATTAAAAATGATGACAACAATGAGATAACATACCAAAATTTATGGGATGCAGCCAAAGCAGTACTTAGGAGAAAATTTATTTCTCTAAATTCTTGCATCAAAAAAATGGAAAAAGAACAGATCAGTGAATTGGGCATGGAACTAAAAAGACTAGAAAAAGAACAAATTAAAAATCTCCAACTGGGCACCAAATTGGCAATCTTGAAAATCAAAGGTGAGATTAATTTAAGATTGAAAGTTAAAAAACAAACATACAACTATTGAGCTAATAAATAAATCTAGGATCTGGTTTTATGGGAAAAAAAAACAATTAAGATAGATAAGCCATTGGTTAATTTGATTAAAAAAAGAGGGAAGAAAACCAAATATTCACTATCAAAAATGAAAAGGGTGAAATCACCACCAATAAAAAAGAAAGTAAAGCAATTGTTAGGAAATATGTTGCCCAACTATATGCTAATAAATCTAACAATGTTAGTGAAATCAATGAATACTTACGAAAATATAAATTACCTAGATTCACAGATCAGGAAATATAATGCCTAAATAATCCCATCTTAGAAAAAGAAATTGAACAAGCCATTAACGAACTCCCTAGGAAATAATATTCAGGGTCAGATGAGTTCATGAGTAAATCCTACCAAACATTTAAATAGCAATTAATTCCAATACTATATAAGCTATTTGGAAAAATAGGTGAAGATCAAACTCCTTTTATGACACAATATGGTGCTGATACCCAAACCAGGAAGAGTCAAAACAGAGAAAGAAAATCATAGACCAATTTCCCTAATGAATATTGATGCAGAAATTTTGAACAAAATACTAGCAAGGTGATTACAGCGTTGTATCACAAGGATTATACACTACGACCAGGTAGGATTTATACCAGGAATGCAGGGTTGGTTCAATATTAGGAAAACTATCAACATAATTGACCATATCAATAACAAAACTAGCAGAAATCACATGATTATCTCAACAGATGCTGAAAAAACTTGACAAAATACAGCACCTTTTCCTAATAAAAACATTAGAGAGTATAGAAATAAAGGGAGAATTCCTTAAAATGATGAGCAGTATCTATCTCAATCCATCAGCAGGCATTATCTGTAATGGAGATAAGCTAGAAGACTTCCCAATAAGATCAGGGGTGAAGCAAGGATGCACCTTATCACCACTATTATTCAATATAGTACCAGAAATGTTAGCTATAGCAATAAGAGAAGAAAAATAAATTGAAGGAATTAAAATAGGCAATGAGGAATATTATACTTATAGAATTTATACTTAGAGTACCCTAGAGCATCAACTAAAAAATTACTTGAAATAATCAACAACTTTAGCAAAGTAGCAGGATATAAGATAAACCCATATAAATCATCAGCATTTCTTTATTTGACCAATAAAGTTCAGCAGCAAGAGATAGAAATAGAAATTCCATTTAAAATAACTGTAGACAATATAAAATACTTGGGAGTCTACCTACCAAGATGACCCCAGGAATTATATGAACACAATTACAAAAGACTGTTCACACAAATAAAATCAGATCTAAACAACTGGAAAAAATATCAATTACTCATGGGTAGGCTGAGCCAATATAATAAAAATGACAATGTTGCCTACACTAATTTAGTTATTGAGTGCCATACCAATCAAACTACCAAAAAGTTATTTGATAGAAAAAATAAAAACAAAATTCATCTGGAAGAACAAAATGTCAAGAATACCAAGGGAATTAATAAAAAAAAAAAAAAGGAGGGTGGCCTAGTAATACCTGATCTCAAACTATACTATAAAGCAGTAATCATCAAAACTATCTGGTACTGGCTAAGAAATAGAGTGGTGAATCAGTAGAATAATTAAGTATGCAAGACCACAGCAACCTAGTGTTTGAAAACCCAAAGACCCTGGCTTTTGGGATAAGAACTCACTATTTGACAAAAACTATTGGGAAAACTGGAAAACAATAGAATGTAAACTAGGTATAAACCAACATCTCACACCATGTACCAAGACTAGGTCAAAATGGTACACAATACAGACATAAAGGTTGACACCATAAACAAATTAGAAGAGCAAGGAATAGTCTACCTGTCAGATCTACGGGGAGAGGAAGAATTTATGACGAAACAAGAGATAGAGAACATTACAAAATGTAAAGATAAATTTGATTATATTAAATTAAAAAGCTTTTGTACAAACAAAACCAATGTAACCAAGATTAGAAGGAAAGCAGAAATCTGGGGAGCAATCTTTACATCAAATGTCTCCGATAAAGGCCTCATTTTTCAAATATATATGGAACTGAGTCAAATTTATAAATATACAAACCATTCCCCAATTGATAAATAATCAAAGGATATGAACAGGCAGTTTTCAGATGAAGAAATCAAAGACATCTATAGGCAAATGAAGATGTACTCTAAATCAGTTTTAATTAGAGAAATGCAAATTAAAACAACTCAGAGATACCACCTCACACCGTTCATTTTGACTAACATGACAAAAAAGGAAAATGATAAATACTGGAGAAGATGTGGGAAAATTTTGACACTAATGCACTGTTGGTGATGTTATGAACTGATCCAACCATTTTGGAGAGCAATTTGGAACCATGCCCAAAATGCAACCCAACTCTAAAATACCTTTCATCCAGCAACACTACTACTAGGTCTGTATCCAAAAAGGACCTACATGTGCAAAAATATTTATAACAGCCTTTTTCGTGGTGGCAAAATTTAAAATTGAGGGGGTACCCATCATTTGTGAAATGGCTGAATAAGCTGTGATTTATGGATGTAATGGAATACTATTGTGCAATAAGAAATGATAAACAGACAGATTTCATAAAAAACCTATAAAGAACTGTATGAAAAGACTTGCAAAGTGAAATGAGCAGAACCAGGAAAATATTGTACACAATATCAGCAACACTGTGTGAAGATCTATGAATGACTCAGCTCTTAGCACACAATGATCCAAGACAAATACAAAGGACTGTGAAAGAAAAAGGTTATCCATATCTAGATAAAGAACTGATGGTCTCTGAATGTAGGTTGAAGCATATTTTTTTTCACTTACTTTATTCTTTCTTGTATTATTTTTTTCCTTTTGACTGGTTTCTTCTTTCCCAACTGTGACTGCTATGGAAATATTTTTACATGATAGACAGCACACGTATAAACTACATCAAATTGCCTACCATTTCAGAAGAGGGGAAGGGAGGCAGGGAGAGAGAAAAATTTGGAATTCAAAATCTTATAAAAATGAATGGTAAAAATTTTCTTGACATATAAGCGGGGAAAAATAAAATACTATTAATAAAAAAGAAAAGAAAAAAAGAAAAGATAGTTTCAAACAAATTTGGGAACACTTGTAGGAATTAATGCAATAGACAATTTACATAACACCATTCTAAAGAAAAACAACATAAAAAAACTTAAGAATACTGATCAATACCATGACCAGCCATGACTACAGAGGGCCAATAATGAAGGGGCTATCTATTTCCTAAGTGATTGACTCAAGTGTGACATTTTTTCTTTTTTGAATGCCATTACAAGTAGTAAGATAGTTTGACTGGATCTGCTCGTTAACAGTGGTCAAGCAGAAATATTTTTGTAAAAAAAGGGCAAAACATCTGTCAGTTTTTCAATATAAAATATTAAAAATGAATTAATTCAGTAATGTCCCACTTAGTTTTAAAATAAATAAGGTAATATATTAAATTTTAAAATAAAACTAAAAACCTTTTAGTTTTAAGTGACAGGCTACTTTTTCCTGAAGGATTTATCCTATCTTTTGCTTTCACAGTAACATTTATGTCAGCAGTTTCATCTATAGAGTAGAGATTTGAGCAAAACTCACCATTGTTGATTAGCACATGAAGAGGATAATTCTTTTTCTTGAATTCCTCAACAAACTGTCGAATGGACTTCATGGAAGCCAGGTCACAGAATAAAAATTCCACTGGAAAGACACAGAAAGCAGCTAATTATCTTCAGAAGACACTTTGGGCCACAAACAAAGGTTAAAAATCACTTTGACTCAATTTAGCCTGTCATATTTCAGTATAAAGAGATGGCAAGGTTTTATGCTGGGCAGAGTACCAGGGAAAGGTAGGGTTATTTTCTTGTTTTATTTCTTTTTCTTTCTTTCTTTCCTTTCTTTCACTCTCTTTCCTTTTTTTTTTTTTAACTGATACACATAATAAAAGCAGCAATGTGGACCCAGATATTGGAAGGCTTAGTTCGGCCTTGGTTTCTTATTTAGCTTTTGTTCTTGTTGAACTTCATTTGCATGCCAACCAAACAGGATTTAGGAAGTGCCCAAAATGTAACCCAACTCTGAAATACCTTTCATCCAGCAACACTGCCACTAGGTCTGTATCCCAAAGGAACATAAAAAAGGGAAAAGGACCTATGTGTGCAAAAATATTTGTAACAGCCTTTTTCATGCTGGCAAAATTTAAAATTGAGGGGATACCCATTAGCTTCTTCACAAGTCCAGTGGGTTATTTCGGCCAAGCTCCAAAAATATTGTTTGTTTATTTAAGGGAAGGGCACTAAAGCACCATCTGGGTTAAATGAAAGTTACAGGTAATTTTCTAATTCTCAGTAGTGGTCTGGGACCATGGATTTTGAATCATTACCAGTCACAGGCTGTCAAAGGAATATAATTTTAGGATTAGGCTTGAGCAAGAGAAAGTTTTGCTTCTTTTTACTGACCTTCAACTATGAACTAAAGAGCTATAAGCCTGTGCTTTGTCAGGGAAAAAAAGCTTTCTAGTTAGTGAATCTTAGCAGATGGGAGCTCTAGATTTATAATCACACAAGCCTATTGGATCAATAGAGTTTCCTAAGAGAGATAAGGTTCCCTCAAGGAGATAGGAAATGTGTCACCCCGAAGTAGTAGTATGAAGATCAGCAACAAAGGATATCAGTAGCAATAGAAGCGTAAGATGCTATGGCCACAAGAGTCCACACACAAACACAAATTCTATATATATAGTAACAAGTATAAATTTCATATAGATTTCCATATCACATATATTTTCTGAATGTGTACCCTTTCCCACTGCTAATGTGTTAACTTGTTAGAGAGTGTATCTATGTAAGCACCGAGAGATCTTTTCTTCTTGTTGTTTTTTTTTGTTTTGTTTGTTTGTTTGTTTGTTTGTTTTATAGACCACATTGTTTTTAAATGGCTTTCGTTCTGGATTAATATATCCTCTGGGTCACACACAGAGGTATGGTTTTGGGAATTATGTTACTATTCCTCAGAATATTGCCAACCTGGCAGAGGTTTCTGGGATGTCCACATGTGAGGGGTCTCCTGTGTGCTACTTAAAGTGTGTTTCCATTAAGCATTCTATTATGCTATTGAGTTAAATAATCATTTATCTTTTTTAAAAGTATGAAACAATACAGATAATCATTTCAGCATAATTTTATATTCAATGAAATACACAGAATCCAATTAAGGCTATTTATTTTATAAGTGAAAAAAATTCCAGTTCTTACAATTTTTTTTTTCTAAAAAGACCTGGCAAACAACAGTAACACAAAAAGTCAAAAAAGTTTAAATGAAAGGTCCAACTACTATTTATTAAATCTAAAAAGTATTATATTTTTGAAACAAAAGTAACACTTTCACTGAAAATCACTACTTTACTACAGTTCTATTATTCATGTGTATATTTATATAGATATCATTTACATTTAAAAATTTTTTTTCTTTTCCATTCCTTTGTGTTATGTATTCACTCTTCATTTCAATGAGTACTGGCTGCCATTAAGACAGAAATAGCATTTTAGTCATCAAAGGGAAATGGATGTTTGTCATAAAATATGGAGGAGGAAGAAAGCAACAATCTGAAGAGCCCAATGATTATAAATAAATACTAGTAGTTGAGACAAAAATAAATATATTTTCTCACCATCATTTGCCTGTCTTATACCAAAAGATGTCCAAGGATAGGCTATATTACTGATAGGGCCAAAAAGCAAATCCCTTTGGTAAGATGATGGCACCAATGGCCCTTTTCATTTTTGTTTTACAATAATTACAGGTTTCCTATTAGAAAATGGTTTGCAGGTTGTTTGTTTGTTTTTTTTGCAAACCTCAAAAATGATTGCTGTTTTTCCTGGAATGGCAAGTGAAGCACTTTGCCAGAGCAACGTTGATGAAAGTGCAGCAATTAATTTGAAACATTTTCATTTGGCACCATTTTCTTACTTTTTGGTCTCATTTTTCTATTTTCCTTCTCTACAATGAACTTTTATTTTTTAAGGCACAAAAGTCAAAGTGGAGAGTTCAGAATTTGTAAATGTGTGTGTACCTTCCCCCACCCACCCTCCTTTTTCTTTTTCTTGTCCTCTGTGTGTACTAAGTAAAGGAACAGAAAGGGCTTTCACCCCTTACAAGACCAATGAAGTACAGTAAGTACTTAAACACATCCAAATCTTTGGCTGTCAGCATGTATCCAATTTGTGACTGTCTGCAGTGACTTAACAGACTAAGTTTGGATTTCATCCTTCCCTATTTGAAAACCTTCAAAGACTCTCTCTTGCTTCCAGTTTAAACTATAAACTCCTCAACACTGACATTTAAGTTCACCCACTGGTTCCAACTTATCTTTACAGCCTGTTTTCATATTATTCTCCTTCATGAACTTTATGTTCTAAACCAAGCAGGAAGAAGAACTGTTGATCCCTTAACATAACATCCAATCACACTCTTCTATATATTTCTCAGCCCTTAGGATGCACTCCCTCTTCAATCACCTTATTTTCTTCATTTACAAGAGGAGTAATAATAGTAATTGCGCAACCTGTTTCACAGGGCTGTAGTGAAGAAAGCACTTAGCAAACCTTAAAATGCCCTATGAGTTATTATATACGAAGTGGCTTCTCATTTTTCTTTACTTCAGATAAAAGCATTTCCTCTACCTTGCTATTGTTATTCTTTTATATTTAAAAGACTATTTCATAGAAGGATAAGATAATAAATGGTAAGTGAATAGAAGTTATAAACTCGTCTTCCATAGGCTTACTGAAAACATCTCTAGGAAAACTAGGAGCAGACAGAACAACAGGGATGACAGAAATGAACCTCATCTTGTTCCTACATTCTTTTTTTGCTGTTAAGTCTCTATATTCTGAAAGCTTTTCATTTCATGTAGCTTGGAGATTATGAGTATTCAGCATGGTGACACCTATTACAAAAGTGCTTTTAATGTTTATTATGTTCATTTTACGAACTAATGTTATATCTGGGGGATTTAGGTCAACAATTTTGTCATTTTGCCTGGGATAATGGTATAGCTTCAGTACAGTTTATTTAAAATAGAAATCATACTATTAACAATGACAAGAAAAAAAAAATAAACATGGAAAGAAAAAGAGAGACTGAGATCCATTTTTTTGGAAACTTCTATTGATCTTTAAAACTTGGGTATAAAATATTACAGGAGTTCTTTATTATTTAATAAAATATTTCTGTAGCATATCTTTCTGCTAGTTTGAAAGATAAAGAGGAGGAGGCAGAGCCAAGATGGTGGAGGGAAAGCAGTGACTTGCTTGAGCTCTCCCTCAAACCCCTCCAAATACCTATAAAAATGGCTCTAAACACATTCTAAAGCAGCAGAACCCACAAAAAAACAGAGTAAAACAAATTTCCAGACCAAGACAACCTGGATGGCTGATCAGAAAGGTATATCGTGCCGGGCAGGGAGAGGAGCGCAGTTCGAGTTGGGCGCACAGGCCGCTGCGAACCTGGAGCAGGCCTCAGAGGACTGAATCGTAGGCAGCTGTGGCCGTTTCCAGACTTCTCAACCCACAGACGCCAAAGACAACTTAGAAGGTCAGTGGGAAAAGTCTGTGACTGCAGTGAGAGAAGAATCTAGGTCTCTGCCACACCCAGGGCAGCAGCTCCCTCCTGAGCTTCCGGCCCACAGACTGAGGGGCAATTGAGTGGCTGATCAGAGGGGGATTGCAAGGATCTATTTGCCAGTGCTGAGGCAGGAATCTCTTGCTTTGTCCATGCTTGGAGCTGGGTCACAGTTCTGAGGGGGCAGTCCTGGGACAAGGAGGAGTGCTGGCGCAGTGGAACTTGTTGTGGTGGTGGAGAGGAAACACCTCTCCCCTTACCATAGCACCTTGGAAGAACTGAAAATTTTCAGGTCCCTAGAAGTATCTCTGAAAACAGCTGTACAAACCCCCAAAGCTTGGGACAGTACATTCTCCACATTGGAAGCAGACTCTTACCTTAACAAAGAGTTTAAAACTCAAATAACTGACTGGGATCATGAGCAAGTAGCGCAAAAAGAGTCAGACTATATTATGTTTCTTTGGTGACAAAGAAGATCAAAACATACAACCAGAAGAAGAAAACAAAGTCAAAGCTCCTACATCCAAAACCTCCAAGAAAAATGTGAATCAGTCCCAGGCCTTGGAAGAGCTCAAAAAAGGATTTTGAACAGCAAGTAAGAGAAATAGAGGAAAAACTGGGAAGAGAAATGAGAGTGATGCAAGAAAATCATGAAAAACAAGTCAACAGCTTGCTAAAGGAGACCCAAAAAAATACTTAAGAAAATAACACCTTAAAAAATAGCCTAACCCAAATGGCGAAAGAGGTCCAAAAAGCCAATGAAGAGAAGAATGCCCTAAAAACCAAAATTGGCCAAATGGAAAAGGAAGTCCAAAAGATTACTGAAGAAAATACTTCCTTAAAAATTAGAATAGAGCAACTGGAAGCTAGTGACTTTATGAGAAATCAAGACACTGTAAAACAAATCCAAAAGAATGAAAAATTAGAAAACAATGTGAAATATCTCATTGGAAAACAACTGACCTGGCAAATAGATCCAGGAGAGAGAATTTAAAAATTATTGGACTATCTGAAAGCCATGATCAAAAAAAGAGCCTAGACATCATCTTTCAAGAAATTATCAAGTAAAACTGCCCTGA